TGTGAACACACAAGCTCAGGCTTTTCTTGTACGTGGATTCTTGCGCGTGTCCTCCGATGCCGCATGGCAGGAACAGTCATCGGGTCCTGCCCCTCGCCCTGTCCCGCTGCCGTACTCAACGTCCTCCTTGACAGTCGTATCCCCGCTCTACCACTCCGACCGTTCTCCCCATGTGCTCCTCCAAGGCAATTATTGCTCGCCACCGTCGTTGAGACCCGCCAAGTCCCGCTTGACGTCCGGAACCAACGAGAACGGTGTGATTGGGATTCACATGACCAAATCAAGATGCAATTCCCAAGTTGTCGTGACTACCGACATTTTGCCATCCGGACAGTTATATAACCGCCTGCCACGCCCACTCAGCCTCTCCCACGACTCCCGGCTTCCCTCCACTCAAAAGCCAGTGCATTCCCTGGCTGCCCTCCTCCTTCTTCCACGACTAGGACTATCACCATGAGCCCCGCACGGTCGCTGCTCCTCACCCTCGTGTCCGCCTTCCTCGCCGTCGTCGCCGTCCACGCTGGAGCTGTGACGCCCATACGCCGCGATACCGTGATCGGCCACTCTATCGGGCCATTCACCCCGCCTGCGAACCACACCGCGGCCGTCTCACCCAAGCTCGCTACGAGCAATGCCAAGGCCGTCGGGGTGCGTGCCTCGTGCCAAGCCTCCGCCTCGGGTCGGGTCGCCCCGTCCCGTCGCGTCTGGTTCCAGTTTCAGTCCCGGCTGATCCCGTCGTATAGAAACCAGGCGGAGTGTTCATATGCCAGAATACGGATTGGCAAGGGGAGTGCGGGTGCGTTGCATTTCAAATCCATCGCCAATCCTCGGCGGGCGTTAACCACTTGATTCCTCTGTAGATACGCCGTTCAGCCGTTGAACGAGTGTATCGTCCTCGTTGCTCCCTGGCTCGAGACCGTCTCGAGCTTCGGGCCAGACAACGGCGCTACTTGTTTCGGTGAGTGCATGCCGTCTGTCCTTCCGTCATCTAAATCTGGATCTGACCCGCGTATATAGCATTCAGGTACTTGATTATCCATCTGCCACGGGTACGGGACGCTCAAATTCTTTAGTTCCGGTAACTGCGACTCGAACGAGGCGCAGTGGTCGTTCACCTTCCCTGGCGATAACACTGGTGGAGAGGCTACGAGCAACCCATGGAACGACAAGGTGCGTTCCTCTCCTCTCCTTTCGTGTCCCTCCGTCCCCGTCGTCGTGTTCTCGATCCTGATCCTGATTCGTTGTGCTACCTCCGCAGATCACGAACTTTGCATGCACCCCCTCATAGACCTCACGACACCGACATCACCTCTGCTGCTTTCTTGCTCCCGGTCCAACTTTGCTTGATTCGTTCGGGTCGTCTTGGGTTCAGGGTTGGTTGTTTTTTGTAGTTACTGAATTGTTATTTTTGCCACGCTTTGTATAGCATGAAGACATGAATTCTTTCTTGGAATGTGAAGAAGATTGCATGCGAGAGAGGTCGTCGTTGCACTGTTCTGGCAATTGAACATTGGCACATCATCCGTGCACCGCGCGTTCCTCATGCTATTTCCGATTTTTCTATCTCAACCCAGTCACAAAGCTGGAAATCGGACAAAAAACACTCTGGGTCACATTTCTTCTCAATGACCTCGGCAGGAGTCGAACCTGCTCCTTCGTTTCAAGCGACGCCAAGGTTCGCAAGACGATCTTCCCCGATCCACAAGGTCTTTTTGCAGACTGCAGCTCGAGTGAAAATGAGGGATGTGTGGCGGGTATCCATCCGTCCGTCGATATCGATGTTGGACCCACCGGCCGGCCTTCCTGCAAGTTCGTCGACTGAGCTGCAAAAGAACAAACGAGCTAGGAAAGACAGGCCTTCGGTAGGAATCGAACCTACTCCTTCTCATGAACCCGTTCGAGAAAATCCCACAGTTCCGAGACAATCGACGACGATCCGCGAAGGCATTCTTGCACTGAAATTACGCTGGTATGATGAATTGCGTTTGGAGGGTTCGGCGAGTTTCGACCAGTCATCCAGGAAAAAAGGAGGCAAACTCTGGTGGATCGCTTTTAACGCCCGGGAAGGAGTCGAACCTGCATGCTCCACCAAGACACATTACAATCCCTTAAGACGATCGCCGCCGGCCCGTTCTTCAAGTGCCTGCCTGACACGGACCACTCAGAGGTGTTCAGATTTTCTTGAAACGTCACGTCTTCGTGGTTGAACTCAGCAGCGTCCGCGCGTCTGTCGGGCGAGCGAGCACTGGTGTACAGCAAGGGAAGTTCTCGGAGTATGCATACTCCGAGTTGGACGATCGCTGCAGTTAGGCGCACGCGTTCCACATTATCTCACTGCGTCTCCTCCATGTCTTCTACCATCCAAAGCCTTGAAGCTTGCAACCAAACAAAAAGATTGGCAGCTCCGGGCAGGAGTCGAACCTGCATCTTGGATATGGTTTCGCGATGGATCTCTACACTCACAAGATGAGCATCCTCGATCCACAAGGTCTTTTTGGAAGGCGAGACGTATCGCGGCCGTCTGTCCCTCGAATTCGGACGCACCGGCGTTCCTCCAAGTTCAAGTCGACGACGCAGAAGCGTCTCACCGGCTCCAAGCAAACAGGTGGCCCTCTGGAAAAAAAGTGCTGCATTTGACAGCGAAAAATTACTCCTTCTCACCAATCTCTGCTATAGAATCTGCCTATTGCATTAGGGAGATCGACCACGGTTCGCGCGAGCGTTCTTGAACACAAATTTGTGGGTTCGAGTGCGTTTAGAACATTGGGCGAGTTTCAAATCAGTCGCTGAGTGAAAATGTCGTCCTTTCAAAGCGCCTCAGGCCTCTGTCAGGGCAGGTCCCTGCGCCTTCTTATTATTCCTGGTCCTCCAGTCAGGAAACTCCTAGGTCTTCTGCAGACTGCAGCTCGAGTGAAGATGAGTGCATTGTGGAGGTACGGCGGGTATTCGTCCCTCGATGTTGGACCCATCGGCCGCAGCCTTGCTGCAAGTTCGTCGACTGACTGAGCCCCGATAAATGACTAGGAGTCACTACTTTCGAAAGATCGGCTGGGTTCGAGAGGGTTCGACCGAAAAAAGGAAAAACGCGTAGGAACTATGCCCTCTCGGTAGGAATCGAACCTAGTCCTTCTCAGGAATCACTGCATTCCGCCGGGGCGTAGGCACAGGGTTTGCCTATGGGGATAGGCACAGTTAGGCAAACTTACCTGTTTTTCACGTTAATCTGGCCTCTGAGGGGCTGAAAGACCTTGTGAACCTGTTCTGGAGGTACCCCAACCACTCGAATGCATCCAGGGATCGGTGAAATTCAGTTTATACCAAGCTAATCTCACGACTGTCAATTTCGGCGCTCCCAGTGTATTTAAGGCTCACCGGCACCACCGGTGCGATTTATGCGATTTATTTTGGACCCTCGGCTATGGGTGATCATGGCAACCAACAGGCGACACAGTTGTCAGCCCAGAGTTTGTGAATAAGGTCGTGGCGAGCACGAGAACGGCGGTGAGACCAGAAAAGCGGGGTCATGTAGGCACAGCGTAGGCAGAAGGTAGGCACAGCTAGGCAGAGTTTCGACGTACTCACCTAGGCACAGCCTAAATTGATGTGCCTAGCGGGGTAGGCACATGTCGGCACAGCTAGAAATAGGTCTGCCTACACGGTCTCGGAATGCAGTGAATGCTGATGCATTGCACCTTTGAGACGATCGACGACGATACGCGAGGGCTTTCTTATACAAAAATACACAGGACAAAGCTGTGCACTTGAAGTAGACTCGTAACCAGTCTGTCTATGAGTTGTCGATAGACAGACTGGTCGATCTCGGGGATTTTTGAAGGGACGCGCCGATTTCCTATTTTGGCGATTTCACGTGATCTACCAGCTTTCGCCTTCCAGAGGCTTTCCCTGCGCCGCGCGGCCTCGAGATGACTACTTCCAGAGGGGAAATGGTTTATATACATGGTATTCATTTGATTCTACAGGTAGAATTACATTCGAACGTGTAGGTAGCCCGGTAACAAGCAATTCGACAGCCAAAAGGCGACTCATCGATCGACACGGCGCCAACTCCGCGTTAAACGCATCCCCGAGCAACAGGGCACGTCCAATACGAGGGGGGTCCACCTTTCCACCCAGCAGGACAGTCTCTCCGTCAGAGAAAGCCGCTTCCGCCGTTGGAGAGAAACACGCGCTTAACCGGCAGCGCCAGCGTGGCATGCAGAGTCGATGGGAATGAGGGACGAGTGGGTAAGAGATGAGGACAGTGTGCTGGGTGAGTGCTGGGGCTGGTTTCGATGCGGCCATGCCGCGATATGGGTGTGCGTAGGCCTGCGTGGGCGGTGCAGTGCGGTGTCGATCTGGGTCGATAACAGCTCCTTGGATAGCGTCCATAGCCGCGCGGAATGAGTGTTAGCACAACAGAGAAAAGTGTAAGGTGTGTGGGTATGGGGGAGGTGGTCATCAGAGTCATCATCGAGTCGATGGCACAGTGACACACCTGAATCCCTTGTAAGTCTGGCCTCCTCCTCCCATTCATCACACGGGTGCACACAGCGCCATCCCGTCGTGTTCAGCGACCACCTTGCGTGGCAAACCATCGACCATTCATGCTGGACTTCTAAGCCGCAGCCGCTTTGTGAACGGCACTGGGGGGTGAGATGGTGGGATCCACGCGTTGTTGGACTAGTAGGGCACCGCTTTCGAGGCTTGATAGGGAGTACCGCGGTCCCACGAGGAGTTCCAGCCAAGGGAGGAGAGAGAGAGGAGGGAGCAAGGAGCGAGAGCCACGATGTGTCCAGATCACGTGAAATCGCCAAAATAGGAAATCGGCGCGTCCCTTCAAAAATCCCCGAGATCGACTGGTCTGTCTATCGACAATTCATAGACAGACCAGGTTCGGGTCTACACTTGAAGTGTTCGGCGAGTTCTCTCTAATTCTAACTTGGGCCAGCTGCTATAACGCAAAGCAGGAAATCGAACAAAAAAGGGCCCAGAATTCGCCATGACCTCGGCAGGAGTTGAACCTGCAACTTCTCGTTATACAGTACGCCCTGGCCATCGCTCTACATTCGCAAGATGATCTGCCCCGATCCACAAGGTCTTTTGCAGTTGCAGCTCGAGTGTGATGAGGTATGGCTGGCATCGATCTGTCTCACTGCCCTCTGCTCGTTGGACGCACTGCAAGTTCGAGTCTGCGACTTGTGAGAGTCTCACTGAACTCCAAATGAATCACTAGTCTCTTATAAACAGACTGTATAACAATTGAACTCATGCTTCGTTAACTAGCTACGTGAGCCACTGTCTGATTGAACTTGGCCGATGTTGAACGTCCCAGTGTGGGCCGAATTCTTTGCGATGGGTAGTCAGTACTGGCAAGGTTTTATGAGAGCTCAATCTTTCCAGAGGATGTTAGCAGGAAGTGCTGAATGCCAATCCCAATCATAGCTCAATGGTTTCCACGGGTTCGATCCCCGGCAGTACTTACTTCAGAAAGGTGGCCACACAGCCCTCGTTTTTTAGAGCTCGTTCAAAAGTTTGGATGTGCACTGCTCCAAATAGAAATGGTTCGCTTCATCGGCTTCATCGCGACTCTCAACTGGCCTTCACTGTTCACACATTGAACCCAAGTTCAACCATCGGCATCTCGCGGGTCCGGAAATTATCTGCAAGAAAGCCCTCGCTAAGAAAATACCATCTTCCAATTGACTCACACAGCGCATGTGGGTTGCAGATGTGACCCCTGCCGATGGCCTTTGCTCTTAGGCTGCCTCAGATTTTGCTGACTCGGAGATGAACGGAAACGCCGTTCCACGCGGTTCGTTGCAGTTCGTTGCGCATGAGAATTCAAACACAAGGTCCAACTCGGAGTTCTCGCCGAATAAGAACACGTTTCATCCGTAAAGCCATGGCCAGAACTATCTACCCCATCACGGCTGGGTCTTCTGCCGCTTCGACTCCCTGTCCGCCCTCCGCTTCTGCACACTGGCCACAACTTCCAAATCCTCATTCAACGACCGATTCTCTTCCTCCAGCTCCGCAATCTTGGCATTCAGCTCGTCGACGCGCCCTTTTGACCCCTCGAGCTCCTCGATGGATTTAAGCTGAAGGGCGTCGAATTGAAGCTGGAGGGTGTCCAGTTTGAGTTGGAGAGAATCGTGACCGCGGACAGCTACCATGACACGAGCCAGGGCTTCCTCGTTCAGCGCTGCTTGGTTGGCGGCGGGGGATGCGGACGACTTCGACGCCGAGACCGACGAGTTATTCGCAGGGCTAGTACTAGTGGATGGATTTGCGGCCGAGACAACTGCCACAGGTGGTTCAGGCACAAATGTCCCAATGATGATGCCGTTCGCCGAAGAGGCTTTGGCTGAGGAAGCACAAGGCGTAGTTGTCGACGTACTTGCAGGTGCTAGTTGAATCGTTGAGTTGTCAGAGTCAGATTGGTTCTGAATCCAACCCGGAGGAAATCTCATGATGATGCGAGTACGAGCTTCAGCTGTGGCCGCGGTCGATGCTGCACTGGCAGGAGCCTGTGTACATCAGCAAAATAGCAGGTTTGTCTTGGGCGTCTTTTGTCTTGACGAGCCGTCTTTTGTCTTGGCGGGGCATCTTGGGGCATCTTGGGCTTGGGAAAGATGTCTTGGACGGCTTGGCGATACTAATCTGTCTTTGAAGAATGTGCGTTTCAGGTACATCTGATCTCCAAGCTGCCTAAGACGACCGGGTTTTCTGAAGATGGAATTTCATCGCAAGACGCAAAGACAAATCTAAGCTCATGTAAAATGCTGAGCCGGAGTGAACTTGAACCGGATGATACCAGAATGAATTGGTGTCCGGGATATTGCAGACGCAACACCACAGAGGTATAGGGTGAGCGTGACTACTCGGGCTATCGAGAGAGAGAGAGAGAGTAGAGTGGAGGAAGGCAACAGCGCAAGGTGAGGAGTACCAAGCAACGTTAATTATCAACTGAAGATACATGAAAATGAACCCAGGTTTATATACAAAAGGCCATGGGAAAGTAATAAAGCTTGAATGAGAAATAGTGAAATAAAGCTTGAATGGGAGATAGTGAAATAAAGCTTGAACGGGAATTAGTGGAATAAAGCTTGAATGGGAAATAGTGAATAAAGCTTGAATGGGAAATAGTGAAATAAAGCTTGAATGGGAAATAGTGAAATAAAGCTTGAATGGGAGATAGTGAAATAAAGCTTGAATGGGAGATAGTGGAATAAAGCTTGATTGATGCGCCATCAAATGATGCGCCTGAGGCCGAAATGGCGGTGAAAGATGTGTCAACACTGAAACACATATGCCCAAAAGGCACGGATGTAACAGTATCCCCCTTTTAGGTTCATTGCCCACAAGGAACTCCACCATCTCTCCCATGCCCCCAACATATTCCTACAGCAAGAAAAAATCCAAGCCCCTCCGTGTGGATAGTGATGAGGAGATGGAGGGTGCTGATAGCCGTGTGAAGTTGCGGCGTGATGGCATGGGAATGGGAGGACATCTGGCGACCGGGATTCCGATCAAGAGTGCAAAGGTGGCGGATGAAAATGACCCGGTGGATGAGTTCAGGGATCGGGAACTCCGTGAAGATGGCCCAAATTAACGGAATCCAACGCTCATTGCCCAAGGTGCGCCATGCTGTGAAGACAGCCGAGCGGAGGCGCTAGAGGCCGAGGGAGGGGAAATGGAGGGTGTGTTGGAATTGTTTGAACACAGATATGTGAAGTTGTGCTCGAATTGAGTCAACCAGAGCAACCGGATTGGTTGAAAAAGGATTGAATGAGTGACTGGTCAAAAGGAATTTTAAATTCGACGAACGTTTACCCAGCCGAGATTTCAGAACGAAAGAGCCCGGCTGGGGCAAGGAATGCGTGTCTTGAGGCTAATTCTCCGGGCCAGGCTTGTCTGGATAGCGACGATGGAAATTGTCGATATGCTCTGGAGCCGCCACATCATCCGCACCAACCCAACTGAACTGTTCATCTGTATTCTCGTACCCCACCCACTCGACCAGATACCGCAACTTGATGCGGAAGCGGCGATCGAGCTTTGAGTCCACAATTTGTTTGATCTCAAAATGCTCCTCCCCATCGATGATCTCGACAGCCGCCGGAGGGGGCTCTTCTCGACTGGGGAATGGATTGGGGAGGTGTGGTTCAAGTTGTGAGATGTGAAACACAGGATGAACCTGTTTAAGTGATTTGGGGAGGCGGATAGTGTATGAAGCCGCACTGGGTTTGCCGATAACCTCGTAAGGCCCAAGGTGAGTCTCCGAGAACTTTGGAGTTGGGCGCTTGGTTCTGAGGAATTTGGTGGAAATGAACGCTAAATCCCCGATCTGGAGTTTGGGGTCCGGAAGTCGTCTTTGATCTGCTGACTCCTTGTACCGGCCTTGAGCAAAAGTAATCTGCTCGCGGAGGAACTGGTGCAGGTCTTGTAAGTCGACGACAAAATCCTTGGCGTACGTGTTGGCAACATCAAGTTCCGGGCGGATAGAAATAGCCGGATCGTAACCCTTGTTGGCAAAGAAAGGCGAGATGCCTGTTGATGCATTAGGAGCATTATTCAACGCAAATTCGGCAAGGGGTAGGAGTTCATGCCAATCATCCTGCTGGTACGAGCAGTAGATCCGGATATACTGTTCCACAGTTTGGTTCATGCGTTCCGTCTGTCCATCGGCTTCTGGGTGGTAACCAGAGGTGAAGTGAAGCTCCATTTGGAGAAGTTCACCCAATGACCGAAAGAAGGAGGAAACAAACTCGGATCCACGATCACATGTAACATGCGATGGGACACCGTGCTTGGAGAAGACGTGAATGAGGAAGAGGCGAGCGAGCCCGGGCGAGTCAATGTGTTGGTCACAGGGGATAAGAATGACCTGTTTCGATGCACGATCAACGATCACAAGGATAGCGTCGTACTCGCCAGAAGAGGGCAGTTGCTCGATGAAGTCCATAGAAATAGAATGCCAGGGACGGAGTGGGACCGGGAGAGGCTTCAGCAACCCATAAGGGCGATGCCTAGGCTTCTTGTTGCGCTTGTAGGTGATACAGGACTTGCAGAAGTCTCGGATGAAACTCCTACTATCCGGCCAGGTATAGTCGCGACGGATGAGAGCTGCGGTCCGATTCTGCCCAAAATGACCCGACAGAATATGATCATGTTTGAACTGACAAACACGTACGTGGAGCTCGTGAGGGGTGTCCGAAGCGACCAATGGGACATAAATGCGTCCATCATACCGGAGTAGACCGGAATCATCAAGTGACCAGCGCGAAGGGGTGCTGGATCTCGCAGCTGTGATGCCAGAGACTGCAGCTGGGTCGTCGTTAAGATGAGCTTGAATGTCGGCATGTAGTTTGTCAACATCAAAAACGACGGATGCACGAAGGACAACTTCTTCGAGAAAAGTCGCCCGGAGTGACGCAGAGAGTTGATCCTGGGTGAAGATTGGACGGAAATTTTGAGGATTGACCGCACCGAATCTATTATCCCCCTCTTTAGGGTAGACGTCCCATCGTCTAGTCAAAGCGTCGGGCTTGCCACCAAGTCGTCCGGGTCGGAACCGGATAACCATATTGAAGTGGCAGAGGTACTCGGACCAGCGAACCTGTCGACGGGTGAGCGTCTTTGTGGTAGCAAAATACTCCAGGTTCTTGTGGTCCGTGACAACGTCGATAGGCAGGGCAGAGCCCTCGAGATAATGGCGCCAGACTGTGAAAGCGTCAAAAATGGCCAAAAGCTCTTTATCGTGCGTGTTGTAGTTGAGCTCAGCAGCATGGAGAGTACGGCTGCGGAACGCAATGGGGTGGATGTCGCCATCATCGCCAGCAATGGACAGAATGGCAGCGATGGCGTAATCGGACGCATCCGTCTCGACAGTGATCTGCCGATCCGGGACCCAGTGATGTAACACGGGAGCGTCCAGGAAGGCCGCTTTGAGTGCATCAAACGCATCTTGGCACATGTCTGACCAATTCCATTTCACCGAACTCCGCGTGAGACGAGTAAGTGGAAGCGTAATACTGGAGTAATTCCAGATGAAACGGCGGTAGAAATTGCAGAAGCCCAGGAACGATTGAACGTCCT